AAACAAAACAAGCAACAACAAAAAACAAGGCAAAGCTGCTCGAGGGTTATCTGCCTTAGTCATCACTAATTTAGAAGAGATAGACTAGAGAGAGAAAGCAGTTAGTGAACGCCAACCACCGCCAACTCTTAGGCCACTCTTTACGAATGAAAAATGGGATTGACCGTCATATCATAACGCTCCCACACCTGAAAGGGCGAGCATATTCGGTGACGGGATTTGAAACCACGACACGCAGACGTAGGTTGACGACGTTTCTCTGTCAGTTACGGCAGTCGAGCGCCCTAATCATACTGTTGTCACACACCCACGTAGGTTGACGACGTTTCTCTGTCAGTTACGGCAGTCGAGCGCCCTAACCGTACTGTTGTCACACACCCACGTAGGTTGACGACGTTTCTCTGTCAGTTACGGCAAGGAAATATCGACAAATGTAAAATGTTTAAAGAATCAATGAGCGTTTTTCCTGTTGATTACTTTACTTTTACCAACCCGAATTGAAACAACGAGATAAACTCATCTTTCGTATATGAAACAATAACTGCTAAAACTTGCCAAGTATGAGGACTATTGGGACTAAAAGTATACTAATAAACGTAAAAGAAGTGGATGACGAAATGTGAAGTGAAATCGAATAGTTTATTTTATATGATTATTTGTTTGATTTAGGATTTTCGTGCAAAGCCACACAATGGCTACCTACACTGCCACGAAAAACACTATATATATAACCTTTATTTTAGCCATACAAAGTATAAGATTAATCACAAATGCGTGCGTTATAAGAGTGACAGTCAATTCCTTAATGTGGATGGTAGAGCGCCGATGTCTGACTTGCCAGTAGTTCAAAATTAGGGACGTCGGCGGAAAGCCTTAATAGCTTTGCCATAAATACAAGTTACAAATACTTTTTGTTTTTACTGTGTATCTAAAAAATAAATTTGGAATTGAGAGATTCTTTATATATAAACATGACAATGAAATAGCTAAAATACATTCTATACACAGTTTACAAATATTCATCTAAGTGAACCCTAGCTTAAGTGTGTATGTTTAAATGATTATTGTAGTTATTGCCATGATATATCCACACTGTATCACTTTGTTCGTGCATTTTTTTAATCAAAAACTAGCTGTCGTACACATTAAAAATGCAATAAAAATACATCAATACTGAAAAGAAAGACATATTGTTTTCAAGAATTCTACCAATATGAAATTAGATTGGGGTCCAACTCCCTCCCCCTCATGACCTTCTTCTTTTCATCCTGTATCACTGTGTCAAGTTGGGTGCTGACTGATTAAGAAATGTGGATACGTATAAGGAACAGACAGACATACATATTGACGTTTATTTACATAGAAAATGCAGAGTCCAATCCTCTCTCCTCAAGACCTTCTTCATGTCATCATGTGTTAAGTTTGCTGATTGATAAATAAATGTGGATACGTATAAGGAACAGATATACATACATATTGACGTTTATTTATATAGAAGATGGGATGGGTCCAATACCCACACTTATGACCTTCTTCATGTCATCATGTGTCAAGTTTGCTGATTGATAAATAAATGTGGAAACGTATAAGGAACAGACAAACATACATATTGACGTTTATTTATATAGAAGATGGGGTGGGTCCAATACCCACACTTATGACCTTCTTCATGTCATACTGTATCACTGTGTTAAGTTTGCTGATTGATCAAGAAATGTGAAAACGTATAAGGAACAGATGGCTGAAAGGTGCGAACAAACAGACACAAACTTAGCTTTATATATTAGATATATAAATAATAGTCTGATGTTACTTGTAATTTTTCATCGTTCATATAATGTCTCTCAAAATACAGAACGACAAGAGTTTTCTACACTCAAGTAAAAATTACAATAGTTTACTGTATAAAAAGTACAATAATTAACTTGATGCAGATAAAACTACAACATTTAATTATATTCAAAAACAACTACAAGAGCTTACCTTATACAGGTAAAACTATAATGATTTACTAGATTCAGCTAAAAACTACAATCGTTTACTAGATTCAGCTAAAAACTACAATGATTTACTACATTCAGCTAAAAACTACAATGATTTACTACATTCAGCTAAAAACTACAATGATTTACGAGATTCGGCTAAAAACTACAATGATTTACTAGATTCAGCTAAAAACTACAATGATTTACTACATTCAGCTAAAAACTACAATGATTTATTACATTCAGCTAAAATCCACAATGATTTACTACATTCAGCTAAAATATACAATGATTTACTACGTTCAGCTAAAATCTACAATGATTTACTAGATTCAGCTAAAAACTACAATGATTTACTACGTTCAGCTAAAAACTACAATGATTTACTACATTAAGCTAAAAACTACAATGATTTACTACATTCAGCTAAAATATACAATGATTTACTACAGTCAGCTAAAAACTACAATGATTTACTACGTTCAGCTAAAATCTACAATGATTTACTACATTCAGCTAAAAACTACAATGATTTACTACATTCAGCTAAAATCCATAATGATTTACTACATTCGGCTAAAAACTACAATGATTTACTACATTCAGCTAAAATATACAATGATTTACTACGTTCAGCTAAAATCTACAATGATTTACTACATTCAGCTAAAATCTACAATGATTTACTACATTCAGCTAAAAACTACAATGATTTACTACGTTCAGCTAAAATCTACAATGATTTACTACATTCAGGTAAAAACTACAATGATTTACTAGATTCAGCTAAAAATTACAATGATTTATACATTTAGCTAAAAATCTACAACGATTTACTACATTCAGCTAAAAACTACAACGATTTACTACATTCAGCTAAAATCTACAATGATTTACTACATTCAGCTAAAATCTACAATGATTTACTACATTCAGCTAAAAACTACAATGATTTACTACATTCAGGTAAAAACTACAATGATTTACTACATTCAGCTAAAATCTACAATGATTTACTACATTCAGCTAAAAACTACAATGATTTGCTACGCTTAAGTGAAGACTAAAATTTTGATATGTTTTGCATCTCCACAACTTATACATAAAGTAGCGAATGATATAATTATACAAATATCGTGTTGTGTTGATATAATTATACAATTATGATATCGTGTTGTGTGTATTACAGAAAAAACAAGTTTTTCTGGCAGGTTTTATACAGTTCGGAACACATAAAATGTGATCATTAACGATTCCAGACCACTTTACTGAAGTTATAGACGAAAGATATAAGATAGCAAAGTTCTGGTGGTTAGGACTAGTTGAATAGTAATGTTTGTGTTCAGAATGCGAACATTTTCTCTGCTAATAGTGTTTCCATGTTGCACATATGTATTTCCTCTTCTAATCATATATTCAAGCTTTCACTATACATTTCCTCTCCTATTGATGTCTGCACACTCTCACTATAAATTCATACTTTCTCTTCTATATTAATGTATGCATACGTTAACGTTTACTTTACTGTTGATGTGTTTTCAAAATACTTTAATTTTTACTCTTCTATTGATGTATACAGTTTTTCATATTTCTTCTACAGGTGAGAGTGTTTATATCGGGATTATTATCTAAGGTTTTCTTCCTTTTGGAATGTTTGCGCGCGCGCGCCCGCGTGTGTGTCTGATGGAAATCTCTTCATATCATTTAGATAAACCACCATTTATCACTACTGGCACGGATACTTTAGGTTTTAAACCCCCAGAGGCAGTCAAGAAACGTAATATACACACATTCGGATTCCACTTAGTTGTTATTCCGAATATTTTACACAGATCTTTTGGATAGTGACTGTTTTCGTAAAATACATGCGTGAAACTGTGTCACGTGTGTGCTTTGATTGACTTTCTTCCAGCACGAGCAGCTTATATTTCAGTTCCTATAGGCTGTGGTGTTCATTGCTGCATGGGTAACGACACAGTAAACTTTAAGATAGTAAATTCAGTGTCTTCAAAGAAGTTCACTTACCTAATACGCCCTACCTGCCAGTACTCATAAAGTTAAGATTTTTCCTCTTGTATAGTAGTTGGAAGCCTTAAAGACTTTCTTCAAGGTAAGTCCTTCTTTGTACACGTTGTTTGTTTGGTGACTGTTCTGTTCTTATTTATTTTTGTTGTAAAATACGCTTCTCTTTCAACTAATTATCAAGTAAATCGAACCTGAATTGAAATAATTTAGATTTGAAGCCTTATATCAGTATAGCAGGAAACAATTAGACACCTCAAAAGGCAAAAGAAAGTCAGAGTGAGCTTAAGCACATTATAATAGTTTTAGTTTCGAAAGTTTATTTCATAGTTTTGTGTTGAGTGTGAAATTAATAGCATTTCTTCTTTCTTTTTATCTTTCAGTATGATCTTTTTCAACACAAATTTTCAACTTTGTCGGGTTCATTCAATCTTGTTTATAATTGTTGAATGTTCAGAGTTAATTCCCGTCCATTAATTGGCAGAAATAAATAATATAGTCAAATGGCCCATTTGCAAATATTATTTGATTTACATGCACAAGTAAACATTAATACCCCCTCAAAAATCCAAAAGAGTCAACGTTTTCTGAAACGAATAAAAATAAATTTCTTGTTCATTATTTTATAACATTAACTGTGTAAAACCAATCTTTTTTCCATTCTTATATGAGGTCAGATGTGTAAAAATAAAGTTCTTGTTCATTATTTTATAACATTAACTGTGTAAAACCAATCTTTTTTCCATTCTTATATGAGGTCAGATGTGTAAAAATAAAGTTCTTGTTCATTATTTTATAACATTAACTGTGTAAAAACAATCTTTTTTCCATTCTTACATGAGGTCAGATGTCTAAAAATAAAGTTCTCTTAAACTTGTTTGATTGTTTTATAACTCTTTATTTATTTTTATAATTTTTACTGCATAAATTAATGAATCTTTTGCCATTTTGTACATTTTACATTCTTAAGCCTAAGATCTTTCAACATAATTTTTGTTGAAGAACCAAATCATACGAGTTTTCTTGCTCCTTTTTTTTTACTTTAATATTAGCATCATTAACACTCTAGTATGGACAAATGATGTCAAACGGTCCCCTCAACAAATGGCTACCACAGTATATCATCAGTTATTAAGCGCTGACAGCAAAATGAATTATATATATCTACTGTTTACATAATCTCTGAATAATCACAAAGATGGACGGGCGCGAATGTGAATGATCAAAGAGCGATTTAATTTTTTGTTTTTGATCGAAGGTAAGAACTTTGATTTTTTATGGTTGCGAAGTAGATATTTCAGGGAAAATCGCTTTATTTATTTCAAACAATTGGGAACTATAGAGAATCGAATATGCGTAAAAGAAATGCAGTTCAAATTTACTGATTTTTTATAACGTGCTATTGCTTGATAAAGAGTGGCTTAAGGTCAGACGTCCCACTCCCATCCTGTGAGATCGTCTTGCCTCACACCAGTGACGTACATGTATATTTATGTGTTCAATCATTGTTTTAACTAAAAATGACATTTGTATAAAAACTAGGTTCATTTTAATACCTTTATCGTGACATTCGTCTTTATTGGTGAAACTGCATTGAAAGCTCAGGTGATCGTGTAGTCATACCTTTTTCTAAGGCATTTTGGAATCCTTAACACATAATGATTCATTAACTGCAGTGGAGTGCCGTGGCAGATGAGAGCCGTGTCGATATGTTTAACGCATATATGTTTGATTCGTGACGAATTTCTAACCATTCTGCAATGCAATTTTACCTTTAATAAATTTATTGCTGGAGAAAATTTCACCGCTCATTTTTGAGGAAGGATAATCGAACAGCAATATTATTAAACGAAAGAGGATACAGCATTTTAAGAAGAAGATTCTTCAATATTCTCAACGGAAGCAGAATAACTCACACATCAGAGACTTTATGGCAACACGAGCTTGTTAGTAAACTCTCTTCCATAAGGTGAAGGCTAAGATTGCGAAAAAACGCTCCAACTCAAAAAACCATTACTATAAAGTTGTGCATAGCTTATAAAGACGGTAAACAAAGATTTAAAATAGACAAAGGCTCAGAAGACAAACTTCAGAAGGTTTCATTATTAACTTTATCATGAGAAATGTAGCCGAAGATGGAATAAAAGCAAATCTGTTCAAGCACATACTTGTCATGTCTGTCAATGAACAATCGACAATGAAGAAAGTAGATCCAAAGGATGCAAGGACATGGAACATCTTGCTTATAATCGAGTCTTAATATTCTAATGATACTTACATGTTTTAGTAATATATCTCTGTTGAACAACAAGTGATATATCTGTTGAACCGCGAACAATACAGATTTTAGTAATATCTCTGTCGAACAGCAAGTGGTAAGGGTTTCAGCGATATATCAGTTGAACCGCGAACAATACAGCTTTTAGTAATATCTATATCGAAAAGCAAGTGGTAAGGGTTTCAGCGATATATCAGTTGAACCGCGAACAATACAGCTTTTAGTAATATCTATATCGAAAAGCAAGTGGTAAGGGTTTCAGCGATATATCAGTTGAACCGCGAACA